CCGAAGCTGATGTCGGGCCCGCAGCCGCCCCACTGCCAGGTGTCCTGTGGGCCGGGCTCGCCCAGGAGCGAGGCCAGGTGAAGGGGGAGGCCCTTGCCCCGGGACAGCGCCTGCAGCTGGCTCAGCTTCAGCCGCTGCTTCTCCTGGCCGCCGTGCTCCCCCCACGCGCAGCCGCAGCCCTGCAGCTTGCCCAGGCTACAGGCCGTGGCCACCGAGTGCATCACACCCGCCGCCAGCAGGGAGAAGGTGAAGGCGCTTTCCCGGAAGCCTGGGGAGCACATAGGGAGCGGGTGAGCTGGGGACCAGGCCAGGTCCCTCCCAAGTGCCTCCCAGGAGACGGGGAGGAACCCAGGCACCCATGGCTGGGGATTCATCTCTCCCCTGCAGAAGTGCGGCTGCCTCTGGGGTGGAGCATGAGGCAGCCCTGTAGGCGAGGAGGAACAGAGTACCCAGCTGAAACTGGCCAGGCGAGGGGAGGGGGAACAGGGTCACTGGAGTGGGATTTCAGCCAGGACTCCTGGGTTCTTTCCAAACACACCCAGGATCCTTGCTGCCCAGAGCAGTCAGCTCGGCTCCCCCCAGCTCTGCCAGTGCCCCCAGTTGTGACCCACAGCTCCCTGCTCTCCCTCTTCTGATTCTGCCCCTCACAGAAACCACTAACCCCGCTGAACTGTGCTGAGACCAGCTGCACTCGCTTCACTTGTGACCGAAGCGGGTGTTTGAAGGCAGGTCTCCAGAGCCGACAACTTCAGTGCCCCTCACCCTGCTCCTCAAAACTTCCCACCCAGCCACACTGCCCAGCTCCATGGGCGTGGACGGGCTACAGAGCTGGGACCTTGGGGCACCTCTGCCGAAGCTGCCCCGTTAGCACCAGCTGGGCGTTGGGCTGAGCCCCACAGAACTCCCTGCGCCCCGGGAGCTGCCCGCCCCGGCAGGAGCAGGCAGGCCGCGGCTGGCTCCAGCTCCCTCGCTTTGATCCTGGGTTTATTCTTAGCTCCTCTCCCTTGATGCAGAGGCCAAGGCAACATCAGAGGCCGCTCCAGGCTACAGGGAGCAGGGACGGGGCGGCCCCGACGCACCATGAGAGCAGCACTGGGGGGAGGAGTCGCAGGGGAGGGGCCAGCAGGGATGGGCACAGATGGGCACAGGGCAGGTTGTGCTGTGGGAGGCCGGGGCAGAGCTGATGCCCCGGTGCTGAGGGGCCAGGCTGGGGAAGCTCAGAGCAGGGTGGGGAGGGTTGGCACAGCACCGAGTGCCTGCAGCCTCCCCCTCCCCCCCGCCCAGGCCCCTGTCTCCTTCCCTGTCCTGCCCCAGCCCCTCCACGTGCTCCTATCCCCACCCCAGACAGGCCTTCACCAGGCACTGCAAACCCCACAGCTGGGCACCCTTCCCTGCCCGCAAGTGCCCAGGGCATGGATCCCCCTACTCCACCCCTCACCTCTCTTGAGGATGGCGCTGTCCGGCAGCACCTGGCCCGCCCCCTCCAGACTGGAGCAGTTCCAGCGCTGGTCCCGCAGCTGGTGTTGACACTCCTGGATGGCGAGTTGGATGCCCTGCAGGGCCGAGGCGGTCACATCTGGGCTACGTACGCACAGGCCCATCTGGCGCTTGCTGAGCCCCGGCAGGGTCAGGCACACCGTGTTGGGGGTCAGGACAGGGTCGCTCGGTAGCTTCAGCCCCAGAATGTCATTACCCAGTACCCTGGAAGGGAAGTAAAGCAGGTGAGAAGAGCAGAGGGGAGAGAACCCAGGAGTCCTGGCTCCCAGCCGCCCTTCGCTCTAACCACTAAACTCCACTCCCCTCCCAGAGCCGGGGAGAGAATCCAGGAGTCCAATGTGCCATGCACGCTCCAGCCCTGCTAGCAGCTGGGCCCATGTGCAGCCTGCATCACACATGTGTGCAAGGCGTGCAAACCCAGGCCCCTTCCCCCCACCCCCGCAGGAACTCTGCACCTGGCCCCGTTTGCAGGGGAAATTCCCCCCTTACCCACACCCCCCTCCCTGGAACCACATTAAAGGGGTTTGAGGATTAGGTGCGTCACCCTCCGGCTCGGCACCCCGGGGGTGGTGGTGTTCTCATGATGATGCGAGAGCCCCCTGCCCCCCAGGTCTAGAATAGGGGTTTCCATGGCAATGGAGGGAGGGGCACACATAACCTGGGTGGCCGTGGAGAAAAACATCTGGAAGCTGAAGGGGAAATAGCGAAGCTTCTTGCCGTGAGGAGGGAACGTAACCCCCCCCCCAACCGTGACCCCCCAACCCTCAGGAGATCCCCCCCCTACAAACCTCCCCTAACTCCCCATGACCTCCCATGAGATCCAGCCCCCCATAATCCTCCTCAGCTCCCCATTAGATTCTCCCATAGCCCTCCATGGCACACCACGAGATCCACCCCCCATAACCCTGCACAAAATCTAGTCTGTGGCCTTCTCCTGGCTCCCAGACCCCTTCT